TCCACCACTACCATCACAGAGGGGTCTTACCAGACACTCTCAGTGTGCTATACAATCTATTTGCATTCTCATCCTGTGATAACGCCCTCTGCCTCACCAGTAAGTCATACTCTGCGACTAGCACTCGGGCCTCGTCAGTGGGCACGTCGTATCGTCACAGCTCGTCGCTGTAGGCTCCTGTCCAGGAGATCCTCAAGGGGACTCTCTATTTGGTTATCTATCTTTGTCATCGGCATGCCGTGACATTAGAATAAGACTGACCTTTTACGCCCCTACCAAGTGTCTAACACTGGTAGCCGCGCATTTTTGCCCAGAGACACTCTGGCCCAGGGCAGGCCTATTTCCACATCACTTCCCTCATACACTTCCTCTGCGTCTCTACCGCCTAAGCCGCTTCCTTCCTTCAAAAGGAATAGCGCTGCATCGACCGGTAAAGCACCCCAAGTACACAACGGTATCGTTCCGCCCAACGAGCGCTACCACCCATACCAACGCGATCCCCGGCGCACTCACCGTCTGACTCAGGGGAATCTCGTCCAAGCGAAGCCCCCACAAGCCAGCTCACAAGGCATTACAGCTGAGCGTCGCCAACAGGAGCGCAAGGTTAGCCTCTGGCTCGAAGGAATTCCAAGAGACGCGCTTACCCCGTCCATTCCACTCCAACCCCCTCACCCCTACGCTACATTTTCCGCCATCGACGTTCTCAATTTCGCGCTCTCAAAGAGCTACCATCCTCGTGGGATCCACGAAAATCCCAAAGGTACTCTCCCCGAGAACATTGCGCTGACCGTATACGCTACCATTCAGCGATACAAAGTCCTGCAGCAGCCTCACATCGCGGCCAAGTTCACAGAGGAGCAGTTGAAGTGCCGAGATAGAATTCTTCGACACCTATCAGTAATAAACGAGCGCATCAGAGCCGGGCACGATTTCACGTTCGTCGACAAGTGCATTGCTATCAAGCTTTGCGTAGGACTAGGGAAGATTCCCTTCAAGGGAATCAATAAGGAGCAGGAGCGCGTAGGCAAGGAGATAGTGAAGTTTGAGAAGGAGTCGTGCTACTGGCCTTATTGAAGACCAGTAATATTTTTTGTATCCAAGTTTCATGCCGAGATACGTGATCGGCTTCATATATGAGAACTACATCGTGGACTTTTATCGCCCAGCACAGGGACAACTCACAGTCATCTGCACTGCGTACTTCATCTATCAACCTCTCGTCACCAACTGGCAGCAAGTACTTTACCACTACATGGTACAAGTACATGCCTACACCACCTACTCGGCACCATTCCGCCTCATTCCAGATTTTGAGGAAGAACGGAAATATTGGCACTACCGAGCAGAATCTCTACGAGAGGGACTAGAAGAAGAAGGACTTATCGAGGAAGACCCCGAACCCTTCTAGATAAAACATTGAGACCAATAATCGACCAAATTACACATTGTCCGTCACCTCATCCCCACTATCTTCAACATCGATCCCAATGTCTCAATATGATCTTGGAGGCGTTGCGTTCCCAGGAGGACACACCGTTAGTGAACCTACAGACCCTTGAAGGAGCAATGCCCCTTCTACGCCATCAGAAGCAGGACCAGCTGCCTCTGTGGATGAACCCTTTACTAGCAGCACACCCAAGGTGTCGGGAGTAGTCAGAAACCCATCACCCACCACCCTGCCAGCATTCTCCACACCTCAGACTTGGAAATGACAGGGAGTTCCTTACGCAACCATCGAGGAAGCCGCCAATGCTGCCACACCAAACACCATCCCAAACGACGTTAAGGAATGGGTAATGAACGTGGTGCGATCATTCGTCATGAGAGACGTTGTAAGCTCGTATGAAGCCTTACGACAAAAAATGGATGAGCGACACGAGCGCATGGTGGCCGCGTTGGAAGATGAAGTACTGGCTCGCATCCACGTCGAAATAATGGCAGTGGAAATGCGAGATCAGTTAAAGACCGCAAGAGCCCAGATCGGCACCCTCTCTGCCGATAATGAACGGCTCATCAAGTCAAAAAACAATCTGACGCTCGAAGCCCAAGCAATCCGCAAGGACTTCGAAGATTACAAGGATGAAGTAAAGGGTCAGATGGATGCCCTTTACAGCAATATGGTCACTCTGAAGGAGGCACAGGAGAAGATCACCACCTACATCGTTGGCTTAGAGTCCAGACTCAACAATGTCATCATCAATGCACCTCCCCAAGGTATCCAACAACCGGCTGGTCAATCCAGTCAATCACCCCGCCGAATCAAGCTCCCAGACCCTCCCAAATACTCAGGGAGGAAGTCGTCCGAAAACTTCGAGACCTGGTTCACAAACCTTCTCATTTGGCTCGACTACAATCATTTTACGGATGACAAGGATAAAATTCGGCAGGCCAATGCACATCTGGAAGGAGGAGCAGCTCTATACATGAAAGAGTATGCAACCAAGCTCGCCTCCGGACAAGACGTCGGCACATGGGCAGAATATACTCAGAAACTGGAAATGGCATACAAAATGCTTGACCCCAAGCGCACGGCACAATCCCTGCTAGATGCACACTGCGCAATCCGCCACAAAACAATGATCGCCTTTGCAGAAAATTTCAGGGCTTATGCTCCTGAATCAGGATATTCTGACGAAGATCTGATCGTCAAAATTAGGGAACAACGGTCGACCCATATCCAAACGGTTATGTCAGTAACTGAGACTTTAGACCCCTCGAAGATTCCAACCACCTGGATGGATTATCTCGAGTTCTGCCTGGAGATTGAAATCAAACATCTTCAGCAAATGACAGGCAACAAGTCTACTGGACAAACCACAGCAACCAAAGCAGTGGCTCCCAAAGACCCTAATGCAATGGACACAAGTGCACGAATTGCACATGAACTCTCCCCGAAACAAGACAGGTGGCTGGCAAACAAACTATGTTTGTTTTGCGGAAAGCATGCCTACGAACGGGGAAAGCGGTGTCCTTCCCCCAAGCCTGAATACAAGGGCAAGCAGTTTCAGACACGATCCGCCCTGAAGCAAGGGCAAGGAAAAGGGAAGAGCAAGGCGACGAACGTGCGACAGGTGGAAGAAGAAAGTAGCACGGGCTCATCAGCTCAAATTGCGGCACTGGAACAAGCAATTGCTGCACTTCATGGCATGAGCACAACCTCGACTACTCCACCATCCAGCAAAGGCAAGGGCAAGGTGAAGACAAGCACTGATGCGGCATCAATGGCATTGGCATCAACGGCTAAGGACACCAATGCGAGAATCATCGAGATAGATGAATTCTCAGAGGATTTTCATTACGAAGTGTAGATGAGTCTGGTGTCACACTTCAGGACAATTGTATTAGTACCGTGAGAATGAATGTACCTAGTGACCATCTATATATTGCATCCGCAGGTTTCTCTAAACATTCGATCGAATTACCGATAAGATTCGTATCATGGGAAATCCAGACAACGGCACTATTGGATTCTGGAGCATTCTCTTGCTATATCGACCAGAGATTCGCTGAAAAGCATGGGTTTAAGATGATACCTCTAAACCACGAAATCAGAATTCTCAACGCAGACGCCAGTCCCAACAAGGGAGGTGCAATTACTCATCGTGTAGTCACAAGCATCTTAATCGGGGGGCACCGATCAACTGAGAGTTTGCTCGTCACAAACCTTGGATGCATGTTGATGATCCTCGGCATGAAGTTCTTACAAGAACATAACCCCCGAGTTGACTGGGAACATAGAGAGGTCACGTTCTCAAGATGCAGACACACGAGGAAGCAACGAGTCAAAGTATGCGAAGAAGAAGTCAACCTTCTATCGCAACCTCGACTCGAAGATGAAGCGATTCTCTCCAACGTACACATGGATGACGGGTGGGATCAGGAAGATAACTTCATTAACTGGATAGACTTGCAAGACCAGGATCTTCGTAACATGGTGCATGACATCCTAGGCATAAGCAAGAAGGAAAAGGAGCATTTGGTAGAAAAGCCGGCAGAAGAGACACAGGACAAAGAATATTGGTCCAAATTCGTCCCTCCAGAATTTCATCAATTTGAAGATGTGTTCTCGAAGAAGAGCTCGGAAAGAATGCCGATGCGTAAGCCCTACAATCACACAATTGATCTTGTCTCAGACGCGGCAATCCCGAGACCAGCAAAAGTATACCCTATGTCTTTACGAGAGAAGAACTCGCTCGATGAATAGATTGACGGCAAACAAGCCAAGGGCTACATTCGACCATCTAAATCCCCTTACGCCGCTCTGGTATTTTTCGTCAAAAAGAAGGATGGCTCTCTTAGACTAGTTCAAGACTACAGGGCGTTAAACAGTGTCACCAAGAAGAACAAATTCTCACTCCCCCAAATCAACGATCTCATTAACGGACTCTCAAGGGCTAGCATATTTACTACACTAGACCTGAGATGGGGGTACAACAATGTATGCCTTCGCAAGGGAGATGAGGAAAAAGCAGCGTTCATTACCCATAGAGGGTTATTCGAACCCACTGTAATGTACTTCAGATTCTGTAATGCTCCTAGCACCTTCCAAGCCATGATGAACGACGTTCTAGGTGATCTCATTCGCACTGGAAAGGTAGCAGTCTATATAGATGACATCATCATCTTTACGGATAACCAGGAGGAACATGACTGTTTGACCAAAGAGGTTCTACAATGACTCCGAGACAATGACCTGTTCGTGAAACCAGAAAAGTGTCACTTTGCGACTACTTTCATCAAGTTTCTCGGACTCATAATCTCAAAAGGGTCGATACAGATGGACTCAGAGAAGGTCGACGGCATGCTCAAATGGCCGGTGCCCACCAAGGTAAAGCAAGTACAAGCATTCCTTGGTCTAGCAAATTTCCATCGACGATTCATCAAGGATTTCGGATCGATGACCCGACCCTTGACTCTATTAACACGTAAGGACGCACCATGGAAATGGGAAGATCCTCAACAAAAGGCATTCGAGGCCCTCAAAACTGCATTCACTTTCACCCCAATCCTAGCACTCCCCAACGCAATCTGTCCCTTTAGACTAGAGACAGATGCCTCAGACTTTGCCACAGGCGCAGTCCTTGAACAGTTGGGAGAAGATGAACTCTGGCATCCTGTCGCTTATTACTCCAAGTCACTCAATGAACACGAGCGTAACTATGAGATTTATGACAAGGAAATGCTAGCTATCATTCGGGCATTGGAAGAATATAGGCAATACTTTGAAGGACACCCGCATCCGGTTGAGATATGGTCGGATCACCTTAATCTTACCTATTTATGGCAAGCTCAGACACTGACCAGACGACAAGCTCGATGGTCACTTTACCTTACAAGATTTAACTTTATTCTCCGTCACTGCCCCGGAAAGACAATGATGCGTGCCGATCCTCTGTCCAGGAGGCCAGATCATGAGAAGGGGGTGAGCAATGACAATTCAGGGCAAACTCTGCTTCGACCCGAATACTTTGCCATCCATGCGATCTCAGCCACTCATTCCTCCGAAGTTGACGATGCAAAACTTCTAGAAAGAGTGAAATCGGCACTACAAGATGACGAAATGACCAAAGGTTACCAGCACCTACTAAAAACTGGCAAGCGAGAGTTCAGAAAAGACCTCCAAGAGTGGAACTTCGAGCATGGATTGCTGCTCAGAAGAGGAAAGGTCTACGTTCCAAAGGACTCTACGCTGCGGAATGAGCTGATCAAGCTACACCACGACATCTCCACGGCCGAACACCCTGGACGATGGAAGACGCAAGAACTGATTAGCAGGAATTATTGGTGGTCAGGGCTCACCATTGATGTTAAGAAGTACGTCCAAGGCTGTGTAACCTGTCAAAGAAACAAGACGAGCAAACAGAAGCCTTACGGACTACTTCAACCTAACCCAGTGCCAGAAGGACCTTGGGAAATGGTTACATGCGACCTGATTATGCAGTTACCGCCAAGCCGGACCATAGGGGAGAAAAGAAGACTGCCATTTTGGTAGTCGTCGACAGATTCACCAAACATGCTCACTTCTACCCAGTAGACGACATGGTGACAGCATCTCAAGTAGCGTCGATTTTCTACACTGAAGTATTCAAACTCCACGGAATTCCCCGGCAGATCATATCCGATCGAGGCACACAGTTCTCAGCCAAGCTATTCCAGGAGTTCTGCCAGAAACTTCATATCAAATCTACGATGTCTACAGCTTATCACCCTGAAACAGATGGACAGACCGAGCGAGTCAATCAAATTCTGGAGCAATATCTGCGCATGTATTGCAATTACCGACAAACTGATTGGGCCACGCTATTGCCCACAGCGGAATTCGCATACAATAACCAAGCTTCAGAATCAACAGGCCTGTCTCCATTTTTCATTGAGCATGGTCGACACCCCCGAATGGTGCCAGACGTACTGGAAGGAATACAACATCCATCCCTGGAACACCTATTCCACAACCGCGATCAAGCACAGGAACAAGCTCGTGCCGCTTTATTGTTAGCAGCAGAAAAAATGAAATGGTACTTCGACCTTAAAAAGCAGGACGTTCCTTTCAAAGTAGGGGACGAAGTGCTTATTCGAGGAAAAGATCTTCACGTCAAAGTCAAAAGCCAAAAGCTGGCGACTCAAAACTATGGACCATTCAAGATCCTCGAAAAGATCGGAGTCATATCATTCAAACTGCAACTACCAGCGGACATGAAGATACATCCCGTGTTTCACGCTTCTAAGCTTATAATGTTCCATCAAGACTCTATCCCGGGATGTGTACCTCCCCCTAACCCTCCAGTCATCATTGACGGAGAGGAAGAATGGGACGTAGAAGACATCCTGGATTCAAGAGTCAGGTATAACAAAACCCAGTATCTCATAAAATGGGTGGACTACGACCACAGCGATAATACTTGGGAACCATTGGAAAACCTCACAAATGTCAAAGACAAAGTAGAGGAATTTCATAAGACACACCCAGACGCTCTAAGAGCAAAGCCGCAAACACGCAAAGCACACAAAATCGCTCTGTCTGATCACCCTGATGAATTCATGGTCTTCTTCTGCACCCATCCAAATGCCAGAGCACCCTACAAGGGTTCTGCAGAAGCTGTTGGCTGGGATGTCAAGTCCATACAAGACATAGATATCCCCCCACACTCCCGAATGCTCATTGGCACCGGACTTGCGGTCGATCCCCCAAAGTGGACATACATTCGAGTGGCCCCCCGAAGTGGGCTAGCCCTCAAAGGAATCGATGTCGCAGCAGGGGTAATTGACCCAGATTACACAGGGAAAATCAAGGTGCTTCTCGTTAATATGACCAGCAAACCATTCGAGGTCAGAACAGGCGATCGTGTCGCACAACTCATATGCGAACGTTATGCTCCAGGAATCATTTCTGAAGCAGATAGTTCACTCGCAAAGCGAACCATATGAGGCGCCAAAGGCTTTGGCTCATCGGGACGATGAACCTTGAGAAGGGGGTGATGTCACAGTTTTACCTGACAAAGTCATTATAGGAACAAATGCTATTAAGGAGCATATCATTTTTCATCATTTCTCGTCGCACAAGAAGTCACGTGACCTAATGAGATAAGATAAACGAGGCATCCAGTCACATGACCTCGGATCTCTCTCGGCATTGTCATGTGACACCGAACTCCTCGGCATGGTGTCATATGTCGCAATCGCCATAATGCCATATTGCGTGCTCAAGAGGAGCTCCGTCTCCGTGGGTTATTATTAGGCAACCAATCAGGATAATTGGG